ATGAATCTGTGGGGTAGTTTGTTGGAGGATCCTAATTTAGGGCGGGGAGGATTAAAAATGGATTAGTGAAATTTATGGAGGATGAAGCTGTCAGTGGCTACTGGTCATGATGGCAATATTTATTCCATTGTTGGCAGCAGAGTGCTTCTGAATACCAGCTTCTGGGGATCTTGAGTGGGAGGGCTACAACACAGTGTTTGAAAATAGCCAGGCGCATTAAGAAATCAAATTAGACAGGCGCATGAACTATATCTAAAGTTCAAGTGCAGCTACCTCCAAGGTTTGTTCCTGTGCTTTCAAAAAACTGGATGCTTTTTAAAAACTATATTTTAGTTTACTTTTTAAAGTCATATTCTATTTTAGATACGTAGCCCTACTTCAAAACAAAGTAGCTCAAGGCAAAACAATATTAATAAAGACTTGGGTTTAGAACGTCACGCATAGTACTCTGTGCATGCACAGAGCAGTTTTCAGTTCTCTTCTCTGGAAACAGCCCCTGCATCCCCCAGAAGCCTCTCCTGAAGGTCGGGGAACTCTCCAGAGTCACAGCCCATGAAACATAAGGGGCTGCCTGCAGATCTGGAAAATTATCAAGTGTTTTGCCTGCACATCTAGATCTCCTGGTTTCCATCCGTCCTCTGTTATAGATACGCTACAATATGACAGCATGAGTAGTCTGTGAAATAATTTGTAGTACTAAAATTTTGACCCCATTGGCATTTTGATGATGGTTGAAGGGCTAACTGATACTATGCACAGGAAAAGGGTGGTTTGTAACATCCAGGTACAAAAAAGAATTGAGTGACTTGCATGTACATTTTGAGGGCAGGAAGTACGCATTTATGACTGTGAGCAATGGACTTTGATTTCTCTGTTCCAGCACAGTTGATTCATTGTACCACCTCTACTCAGGCAATATCTGCAAAGTTTATGTGTCACTTGCCTATATTACAGACAATCTTAAGGGTATTAGTACACATGTTTAGAAATGTGAGATGGTAGGTTTGAGGGTTTGCTGTTGACATGTTTAATAGAACATGTGGTCACTCACTTAATTTTTATATATATTTATATATATATATATACACACACACACACACACACACACACACCCTGCTAGATCAGATCACCATCTAGGTTAGTATCGCCGTAGCTGTCAGCAACCAAGAGTTGCTGCGAAACCCCCAAGCCAGTGTATGAAGGCAGTGATCCTTATCCTTTGCCCTCAACAACCAGGATTAAGTGATGTGCTGGCTTTGAACCCAGACGTTGCATTGAGCGGCTATGACTAATAGTATACCCCCCTCCTCCATGAATTTGTCTTAATCCCCTTTAAACACCATCACCAGTAGCAGTCTGGTGACACCTTGCCCCACGACTTCTAATGACCATCCTCAATGGCTTCCTATAGATCAAGAGTTTCCCAAACTTGGGTCTCCAGTTCTTTTTGGACTACGATCCCCATTATCCCTGAACACTGGTCCTGGTAGCTAGGGATGGTGGGAGTTGTAGTCCCAAAACAGCAGGAGTCCCAAGTTTGGGAAACCCTGGTAGAGATATTGGTGGCAGGATAGCGCCCTACAGCACACCAAAAGTGCCCGCTTTTCCGGCCACTTCTGGTTCACTGCTGTGCACACATGTGCAGTCACGCATCAATCGGCTGCACGTCAATTGGGCTTTGCCTGTACTTTAAAATTGCAAACCACCTTGGGTACCTTGGCACAGAAAGGCAGTCAATTAATGCAATACATTAATAACGCAGGTGTTTGCAATCTCTTTGTGGATTGCAGGCCAGGGGAAAAATTGTCTGATGCTTCCACGCATGCAAGATATTCTGAAACGTATGTTTGTACATCTTTAAAAAATCAGATCTTAAAATTTTAGAGACTTGGCTATTTTGCTTACGCGCATTTAACTTGTGTGCATTCTGTTTTACATGCTTGGCAAAAACAAACAAAAACCTTTTTTAAGAGGGCAGGAGTCTGGGGAAAAAGAATTTGGCAGTCCTGCCCACCATTGAACCCAGTGTGCTTTTACTAGATGTGGTTTTGGCTGTACGCACTTATCCCTGGAACGTAAACCCTGTGTAAGTTTAAAGGTAAAGGTAAAGGGACCCCTGACCATTAGGTCCAGTCGTGACCGACTCTGGGGTTGTGGCACTCATCTCGCTTTTTGGCTGAGGGAGCTGGCGTACAGCTTCAGGGTCATGTGGCCAGCATGACTAAGGCGCTTCTGGTGAACCAGAGCAGCTCATGGAAACGCCGTTTACCTTCCCGCCGGAGCGGTACCTATTTATCTACTTGCACTTTGACGTGCTTTTGAACTGCTAGGTTGGCACGAGCAGGGACCGAGCAACGGGAGCTCACCCCATTGTGGGGATTCGAACTGCCGACCTTCTGATCGGCAAGTCCTAGGCTCTGTGGTTTAACCCACAGCGCCACCCACGTCCAACCATGCACCGTATTTTTCGCTCTATAAGACGCACCAGACCACAAGACGCACCTAGTTTTTGGAGGAGGAAAACAAGAAAAAATATATTCTGAATCTCAGAAGCCAGAACAGCAAGAGGGATTGCTGCGCAGTGAAAGCAGCAATCCCTCTTGCTGTTCTGGCTTCTGGGATAGCTGTGCAGCCTGCATTCGCTCCATAAGACGCACCCACATTTCCCCTTACTTTTTAGGAGGGGAAAAGTGAGTCTTATAGAGCAAAAAATACGGTAAGTTTAGAATTGCCTATACTCCGTTTCAGATACGCTTTAAAGAACAAACACGCACAAAAAATGGCCGGATTCCAGGTGGCTGTATGTGGTGCTCTTTGCACAAACTTGAGCTTTTCTGACTCCTTTCCTGCTGCAGCTTTCTGTGCACCCATGCCCCTGCAGAAAAACCCCCAAACAAACCCAGTCCCCTCCGGGCAAGGTGTGATGCAGCCAATGGGCAAGGGGGATTGACGATGCACATTATTGGTGCATGTGGCTTTCCATAGATACATTTTGCTTTTTAGAGCTCTAGCCTCCGTTACCTAGAATGAACCTTTGTCAAACTTATTTCCCTTTGCGTGCGCACGTTTAAATGAAGGCAGCGGGAGGAAGGATTGAGAAATAAGTTGTTTGTGTAAAAGTTGCATTGAGGTCAAGGCCTTTGGTGGCAGGAGGGGTTTTTGTTTTGTTTTTTTCAAAGGTCCCAGAGCACGGTCTGAAGGTATGTGATAGATAACAGCAGGCTCGCTGCTGTTAAGTGGGTCTGATTTTGGTCAGTGCCTGTCTGGACATGAAACTGCCTGGCCAGTCTGCGTACCCTGCCTTGAGTCTCGTGACGAGAGGGAGGCTAGATATAAATGTAAAAATTATTGTCATTTATGTTACGCGTGGTGGTTTTTAAAAAAATAAAAAGCATATGCATGTATGCATATGTATGGAGACAATAGGTGCACTTAACAAGCATATTGTATAAAATTTGGTGTGTGGTGTGTGTATAGGTACACACACACACATAGCTGGTCAGTTGCATAACTAATGGCTATGGACTTTCCTCGGACGTGACCTGTTTTATATCCTGTGCCATAAAACTTTTGTGTAAGGTCATGATTCAAGCTAATAATGCGCAGACACAAATAAATGAGATAAAGTCTTTCTTCCTACCCTGTGCTATAATTAACTACCAAGACGGCAGTTGTTTTCCTGCTTTGCTCCACTGACCTGACCACTCCTTTTCATGCCCTTACTCCTAACCACCATCCCACAGCAGACCTGTTTTACCCCAGATGTAGGCACCGTGCAAGAGGTGCTTTTTGGATTCCCCTAATGAGGCTAAATTTAATTATCACTGATTTGTGAGGTACCAGATGTTACTAAATGTTATGATCTGCGGTACTTGCGATTTGTGCGACTAGAACTGGCTTTGACTGCCACCGGCTTTTGACGGCAAGGTGTATAAGCAGTGTTTGAAATTAGCCAGGCGCATTCTGCGCCTGGCTGATGGCCACTTGTGACCAAGTGAATATGCCTGGGCGCCAGGATAGCTCCTGACATCTCCACCATCTGGAGGTGCATGCCTGGGACCTGGAGTGTTTTCACACACCAATACCTCGTCCTGTAGAATTTGATCAGTTATATTTTATCTGCATAATCAGAATGAATTCAAGGAAGCAAAATGCTTCTTATGCACAGCCAGAGCAAGAGCGGTGAACACTATAGCTAATTGTTGTAGCTTTTCTTTACCTACCCCACTCCACTGCCCTGCTCACAGTTGCTGTTCTGTTTTGAATAGTAGGAATAGGCCAATATATATATGTGTGTGTGTGTGTGTGTGTATATATATATATACAGTGGTACCTCAGGTTACAGACGCTTCAGGTTACAGATGCTTCAGGTTACAGACTCTGCTGACCCAGAAATAGTACCTCGGGTTAAGAACTTTGCTTCAGGATGAGAACAGAAATCGTGCAGCAGCGGCGGCAGGCCCCATTAGCTAAAGTGGTGCCTCAGGTTAAGAACAGTTTCAGGTTAAGAACGGACCTCCGGAACGAATTAAGTTCTTAACCCGAGGTACCACTGTATGTGGGGGGGGGGAACCTGTCCCTGGATCAAGTGACTTTTCTTCTTTAAGTTCTCGAAGTTCTTAACCTAGCTGAATGTTGTCAACTGAACTATCCAGATGTTTAACTTAGCATCAATCACAGTCAGTCCATCATTTGAAAAATAAGACTTTAGGGCCGTCTTGCCCCAAAATGGCAACTAGACATTCTGTTTTGGCGACTGTAATCTTGGCTTAAGGAGCCATTTGGCACCTAGCTTACATATCTGAGTTTCTAACACTGTGTGTAAGATATTTTAGATATTGCTGAGTGTATTGGTGATGGCCGCCAAATGCAAGTCCAAATGAGTTTCCAATTCTCTCCTTCAGTGATTAGCCAAGAACTCTTAATCCCTTGCACACGGCCTACTTACAGTTAGTAGCATATGAGTGTTTAATACAGTCGTTTCACTCTCATTACTCTAGGTCAGGATGGCTGTCCAGTTGGCTGCCTGCTTGGTGTCCTACATCACTGGTACATCTTAAGGATGCTGAAGAGAAAATATTGAAATGTAAGCACTTTGTGGTAAGAAACCTCAGGAATTACTACACGTGAGCACCGTGGAAAGAATGTGGGGTTTTCATCAGGCCTTGTTCAAAGCACAGTTGTCGATATCTTCTGCTAGGGATTGAGGGGTTTGTGAAATTTTCATTAGGCTGATTTTCTCCCCTCCCTGTAAAAGAAGAATGAGTGGGACCAAAGTTATGCTAGTTACACATCCAGACAGGCAGTTCTTGTGAGATCTGCTCCAGATAAATGCCATCAGTGAATAAATTTTTGAGGATGTAGGGCGGACTGCAATATGAGTTCCGCCTTTGAACTTTCCCCCCTTATTTTTCCTTTTGGTGTGATTGGTCCTGAGATACTGTTGCACTTTTTGACCATTGCCATACCTTCTTTTTTCTTTACCTTTTCCTAAAATTAATTCATTTGTGCAATCTCTTATTTGAATACAAAAAAGGACTTACAAAAGATAAGCATGTATAGTACTATACAAATCCAATATGATATTATTAGTATTTGTTGAATTTATATACCGCCTTATACCTGGGGGTATCAGGGCTGTTCACAGAATAAAAATATAAAACCACAAAATACATAATAAAAATAAAAACAGCAACCCAATAGCCCCCACCCCCCAAAAAACATGTTTTAAAAGGGTATAGGATATCAATCAGATCAGCCAAAGGCCTGGTTATAAAGGAACGTTTTTGCCTGGCGCCTAAAGGTGTATAATGAAGGAGCCAGGCGAACTTCCCTGGGGAGGGCATTCCACAGAAGGGGAGCCACTGCAGAGAAGGCCTGTTCTTGTGTTGCAACTAGACCTCTCAATGAGGCACACGAAGAAGGGCCTCAGAAGATGATCTCAGGGTTCAGGTACGTTCATATCGAAAGAGGAGGCTCTTGAGGTACCACACCTTTGTTTATCAGCAATTTTAAAAAAATGACTCTGTAACCCTGCTATCCTTCCAGATCTATCTGTGTTTAGTTCTTTAGCATTTGAGAATGTAGAGCATAAGGGATGGATGTTTGGCTTATACAGATTCTTGCCTTTATGAGGTCTTGTAAGTTGTGCAAAGACTACACAGTCCTCAAAAGGAGGAGAAATGTGAGCCTCATAACGTAACTCTGCCACCTTTATGGCTGGCACTAATCCCTGCCATTCTGATTTTGTTATAAATGCTATGATGAAAGTGGGAGTATCTGCCTGTGGACATGCTGTAATAAACGCCCTTATTTCTATAGGGCTGTTTAGGTATATAGTTTTATAGGGCTGTTTAGGTATCATTGTTTAATAAGATTTGCACTTCTCTTTCTTCAGGTATCACAAGTACATACAGTAAACAGTATGTCTTCATATCCAATGGAAACAAAATATGGACGCTAACGTTCTCCCACAGCCTCTCTCAGAAAACTCCCCTTGTCCTCCTCCATGGGTTCGGAGGAGGTGTTGGACTTTGGGCACTGAACTTTGAAGACCTTTGTGAAAACAGGACTGTGTATGCATTTGATCTCTTGGGATTTGGACGCAGCAGTAGACCGCAGTTTGACACAGACGCAGAAGTAGCAGAAAACCAGTTTGTAGAATCTATTGAAGAATGGAGGCGGAAAATGGGATTGGACAGAATGATTTTACTGGGGCACAACCTGGGAGGATTCCTGGCAGCTGCTTACTCACTGAAGTACCCATCAAGGTATCTGAAAATAATAGACGAGCGGAAGTTCTTCCGGCATTTCATTTGAAATTCAGTTATAGGTTTGACAGCATAACATTGTCAAACCTGTATGAGGCAGTCTGGTTAGAAAACATTCTCTAATGAGGTTGAGATAGAGCATTGTTGAAAAACTAGTTTCATAACTTTAAACTTAAAATGCAAATTGTGTTTAACTTGCATCATATGTTTTCCTCTGATTGCACTTGCATGCAATGTAGGGTGTTTTCTACTCTCAAATTTCTCAGCGTACCTTAGATTTTGTGTCCAGGGTGTAGCCGCAGAGTACTTGTAAGTTGTGGTGTAGCCAGACTACCCATTGTTTTTACACAGCCACATGTCACGTTACCAGCATGCAATCACACTGGCCAGAATTTTTTTTTTTTAAATCCTTTTAGGTGAAAGCATGTTTTAGTTACATATCAGAATAACAAGTGCAGGACAATAGTAACTATAGCATACTCATTTCTGTGTTAGCTGCTTGGATTATGTGCTGGGCTTGAGCACAACTACAGAACAGAACCTAAAGGAGGGTTTTTGGTTTTGTTTTGTTTTGTGTTTTTATGTTGCAAACCACCCTGTGATCGTCAGACGAAGGGTGGTATCCAGATAATAATAATAATAATAATAATAATAATAATAATAATAGCAGGGCTGGCTAGCTGGTAGTCCTTCAGATGTTGTTGGACTTCAGCTCCCATCAGCCCCAGCCAGCATGACCAATGGTCAGGGGTGATGGGAATCAAGAGTCTCAACAGCCTCTGGATGGCCACAGGTTAGCACTAAAGGAACTGGGGGTGGAGTGGGGAGATGGGTTGTGATGGCAAAGGCAAGAAGCTATGGGTTAACCTAAAGCTGCAGTGTCTGAACAGAACTGAAACCCTGTCCACGGCTGCCAAGTACCTAGAACTGGTCACATGCGAGTTAGCAAAACAATTCCATCTTTCTTTGTAAATGCCTATTCTTGAATGACTTTCATAGTATTGTTGCTTATTTATTTGCATGTGTTTCCTAGCAAGATGGTCTCAGTGATAGGAGCCAATTCCGAGGGGCTCAAGTCCCTTTAATCCCCCAAATAAAATATTTGAGGGGGCCAGCCCCCCCCCAAAGTTGATGGGCATTGCCATTCAGATGGTGTGCATGTTCCGTGTTTTGTGGTCAGTTATGCAGGGCTTACCTGGGCCTCCCTCCATTATTTTATTCAAGTTGACACCCCTGGGACTCTCAGTAGAATTTTTTGGGGTGCTGTAAAATCCACATAACATATCTGGTGGCAACATGAATGGCTGCTCATGCTTTTACGTAGGTCATATCTCATTTTCCTTGGAGGCATCCGCTTTCATTTCTAGCCAGTGGCTATGGCAAATGGTCAATTGGTTCTCGTCATAGGCCCATATAGTTCAGTATTGCCTGCACTGACTGGTAACAGTTTCTCCAGGGTTTCTAAATGGAGTCTTTCCCAGGCCGACCTAGAGATAATCGGCATTGAACTTGGGATTTTTGTTTGCAAAGCATGTGCTCTTTTACAGAGCTACAGAAGCAATTGCTGGATTAAGCCACTACATTATAATGTGTAACTTATTGGAGCTGAATAAGTAGGCAGTTTTTGGAAATTAAAATAGAACGTGATGATTTGCTTTGGTTATCTCTGGAATGCCATATATTCTAAGGAAATTGATGTGTTTAACTGGGCAGATACCACTATCTCTCAAGAACTAGAATGCTGACGAACCCAAAGGATTGGAGTATAAAGGACAAATATTTGCAAAATGAGTTGAGCTTTACATTTAAAGGAAGTAAATACCATTCCTTATGCTGCACGACAAGTATGTTTAAGAGAAGTTTTCTATGTAAAGAAAGAAGGCTGACCTTTTCCTTAAATGCCACAGAATGCAAATCTTAAACAGGCAATTCCCAATGAAACTATCTGGAAACTAGTTGGGATATATTTCTGGCAGGCTTTTAAGAAATGAAATACAGATGCATGAAGTATGATTTGATAGATGTGCATCCGTGATGAAAATGTGATGTTCAAGCTTATCAGCTATAAGTACCTTTCATACCAGGTGGCTGTAATAGTATTCAGGAAAAAGAGTTTCTTACCAGTAATGGTATAGTGCTGGAATCAAACATGCCAAGAATAGTTATAGGTGACCCACAATTTTTTTAAAAAAATAGTGTACTTCTATTTGGAAACCAATTTGCAGCCCAATCCTAGCCTTTTTTCTTGGATGTAAGCTTCACAAATTTAATGCAAAATTACTAAGCTGTCTAGATGATTGTTGTTGCTCATCTTTATATTTTTTTTAAAAGAAAAAGCTGGAAAGGCAGGGCAGGCAGGCAAGAATGCTTTAGTGGACGATCATGCAAATGCTTGTTGCTTTTCTAATTCTGTACAAGTTTGGCAGAGGAAGAGAACACTAATGGAACATAAAAGACTAACACATCACTATGAAGATGGTGACTTTCCTTGCACAAATATCAGTTTTGTATCATGTGATAAAAACAGCCAGTTGGAGTTGCACCCCTTTTCACTCTGAAGAAAAATTGAGCCTTGCTTGTCCCTTAGTGAATACATATCTTAGTTCTTCATGCAGTTTATCACCTTTAGCCAATTCTAGATCATATATGGCTGGACAATTACAAATGTTATTCTAGAGTATGCAAGTGGTAAGAGAGTGTTTATTTGGAGATCTGTTTAGTCCTTAGCTGTATTGAGATCTTCTAATGACATATACCTAGCGATTGGCTAGTGTATCTCAAGAATATTCTGATGTGACATTTTAGTAGTCCAGCAAGGCTGCCATCTTGAGGGACGTGGGTGGCGCTGTGGGTAAAACCTCAGCGACTAGGGCTTGCCGATCGCATGGTCGGCGGTTCGAATCCCCGCGGCGGGGTGAGCTCCCGTTGTTCGGTCCTAGCTCCTGCCCACCTAGCAGTTCGAAAGCACTCTTAAGTGCAAGTAGATAAATAGGTACCGCTTTCTAGCGGGAAGGTAAACGGCGTTTCCGTGTGCTGCGCTAGTGCCGGCTCGCCAGAGCAGCTTTGTCACGCTGGCCACGTGACCCGGAAGTGTCTCCGGACAGCGCTTAAGTGAGATGGACGCACAACCCTAGAGTCGGACACGACTGGCCCGTACGGGCAGGGGTACCTTTACCTTTAAGGCTGCCATCTTACACACATTTACTTCCAGGAAAATCCCTTGCACATATATGGTTATGTGTCATATAGAATCATAACTAGCTATCTCTAACCACAAGTTAAAGCACAGATTTGCACAGACTGTAGGAAATACTCTGGGTTGCATAATACTACCAGCGGCTGCACAGTAAATGTCCTTTAAATTTTGACAACCCATAATCTCCTCTTGTTTCTTGAAATTGGGGCATTTATTCTATAGGGAGAGTAATACTTAAAAGGAGTTGAGGCAGTAGCAGGTGGCAGAGCTTTGTTCTGTGTTAAGAGCAGGAGCAACCTAAAATTATTTCATCTGAAAGCTAAGGTGGGGTAGAAATACACTTGGTGATGCTGGCTCTAAAATACCACGTGCACTATAATATATGTGTTCCTATTGACAAAACGTCCTAACTTTTATACCTGCAGAGCAAAACATCTCATATTAGTGGAGCCGTGGGGTTTCCCAGAGAGGCCTTCCAGTGCCGAACACGAGAGGCCCATTCCAATCTGGATCAAAGCACTTGGAGCAGTTTTGAGCCCATTTAATCCACTGGCTGGTCTCAGAATAGCAGGACCCTTTGGTGAGTGCTTGCTAGCGGTTTGTGCTGATGCCATTGCCTCCTTAACAAAGGGATTACCATCTGCCATCAGTTCTGAAAATGTAATAGCTTGGACCTTAGGGCGGCTTTCAGTCCCCATCTGCCACACACTAGCAGTCTAGTGTGGTAGGCAGTGCAGTGTTTTTAGGACACATGATCCCAATGGGCTGCCCCACTCACCATCCAAGCGGTCACATTCTGCACTAGCTGCAGCTTTTGGGCAGTCTCCAAGGGCAGCCCCACATAACAGTGCATTGCAGCAGTCCAGATGGCAGGTCAGAGAATGGACAGCTGAAGCCTGGCAGTCCCACTCCCAAGAACAGCAGCAGCTGGTGCAATGGCCTAAGCTGAGCATAAGCACTCCTTCCCTAACTGCTTCTGCTTTCCAGCTAACTCACATGCTGTAACGATGTATTTATTCCATTATATGAGGAGGAGACTGCCACCTGCAGTGATGCTCAGTGTGTGCAGATACTACCATTCTGCCTAATTGCTCTGGCCTGTGCTTCTCTCACCAGAGTAAAGCAGAGATGGGGATCAGGATCAGCCATGTTTAATTCTCCTTGAGATGACAAAACTGTTGCGAGCTGCATTCTCGTTGCCGTTGAAGGCTGCGGGTAATCGGGGACGGGGGCACATACTGGAGGCCGGCAGCCCACCATTTGTCTTCTAGCTGCTGGGGGGGGGAACAGATCACTCCGGATAGAGAGGGAGATGGAGATCTTCATTCTTGATGATCCACAGCTGCGAAGCACCGTTGCTGATCATTTTTAAAGCACCACGCTGCATCCACCTGCCAGGTTCTAATTCTTTTTCGCCTTGATTCACGACAGGATTGAGCCTTGTACAGCGCATTAGGCCCGACTTCAAGAGAAAGTACTCGTCCATGTTTGATGATGACACGGTCACTGAATATATCTACCACTGCAATGTGCAGTCACCAAGGTAAGCATATGTTAGCAAGTCCTAGATGCTGACAGCAGTAGCAGCACATGGGGCGGCGCAAGTGACGTAACGTAGGTTGCCAGCTAGAATAACCTTGACCGTGATATCCTTGCCCAGCCAGGATGCATAAGAGGCATTCTTACGGGCTTCCCTACACATGCAAAACTCTCTTGCCCTAGCAGGCAGGCAAAGTCTACTTCCTGGAAAGGTTAGAATTTCCTGTTTAAAGATGGCAGGGAAAGTTAAGTGGGACTGAAGTACAACTTTTTCTTCTACATGGCTTAATATAATAAATGGGGTATTTTGTTTTGATTTTTAGTAAACTGAAATAAATTGCCTTTTCGCCATTAATTAATCCAGCTGATGGGTTACAAAATCCATTTTAATCATCTGGGGGCTGCTCAGCTCAACAAAATTTTGGGATGAGAGGTCTTGAGGCTGTTTTGCCAGCCCTCTGGCGCCATTTTGATTGAAATTTGCCGTACACTTTCCATGGTTTTACGATTTTAGCACCCCATCCCAAGGAAGCTGCTTCTTATCCATGGAAATAAAAAAAATCCTTCCAGTAGCACCTTAGAGACCAACTAAATTTCTTATTGGTATGAGCTTTCGTGTGCATGCACACTTCTTCAGATACACATGTTTCGACCATGGCAGACCAACACGGCTACCTGCCTGTAACTTATCCACGGAGAGAAAGAGAGAGTTGGTGGTACTACCACCTAAGCATCAATATGTCTTTCTTTTTGCTGTTCTATACTTGCAAGGCTCCTGCATTATTGCTGTGCTTATTTAAAGCATTAAAGAGCAGTAGTCTCGTAATCAGATGAACCGGGTTCGCTTCCCCGCTCCTCCACATGCAGCTGCTGGGTGACCTTGGGCCAGTCACACTTCCTTGAAGTCTCTCAGCCCCACTCACCTCACAGAGTGTTTGTTGTGGGGGAGGAAGGGAAAGGAGAATGTTAGCCGCTTTGAGACTCCTTCGGGTAGTGGTAAAGCGGGATATCAAATCCAAACTCTTCTTCTTCTAACTTCCGGAAATGTGTTTTTGTATGGATGTTTGTGCTAATGGGAAGCTTCAAACCTTGATGTGTTTTCTCACATTAAATATACTTCACGCAGGACAAAACTCAGAGAAGGCTTTTTTAAAAAAACAAGAACTGCGGTGTTAGGGAGTAGCAGATTGATATATGCCAGGTACTCTGTGCCAGAAAATTCAGCTTCGTTTTTCGTTGATATCTTTTAAGTGGTGAAACGGCTTTCAAAAACATGACGGTTCCCTATGGATGGGCGAAAAGGCCGATGCTGCAGCGGATTGGCCACATGCACCAAGACATTCCTATCACTGTGATTTATGGAGCACGATCGTGCATAGATGGCAATTCGGGGACCACCATCCAGTCTCTGCGACCAAATTCATATGTGAAAACGATAGTAAGTGGGACATTCTAGACGCCGTGTTTGCTGTTAAGAATTCGCCTGCTCCTCTTGTCTTTCAGTGACAGCTTTAGGATTGTAAGATCGCAGCGTAAAATTAAAACCCAAAATGAAAAGTGAAATTTCCCTTTACAATGCTTTGCGAGCATTACTGTAAGACTTCCCTACCTTTCATGCATAAATGCAAAATGTAATATGTGTCCAGGTAGATTGATTCAGAACTTTGTTTTCCCTGCTGCAGAGAATCTGTGGTTACAGTAATGCTGGCTAAATTCCCCTTGCTGAACAGATAAGGGTAAAGAGGATTTCTGCCCTTGACCTGTTCCCTTTAACACTTGCAAATTTTTCAGGTTTGGGAAGAGCCACTTCTGCAAGTTAGGCTACTACACTTACACAGATACACCTTGCCACAGCCAGTGGCAAACATCAAAAATGTGAATTTCAGCAAAATGCTGCTTCAAGAATATTATTCTATCCAGCTTCAGCATGATTGCCATAGGAAAAAATCCAATAAATCTAAAATTAATTTCTCCTCTTCCCCCTCCCAATCTATTTTTTGCATAGTACGTGTAAGAAACACCCCTGAAGAGTAACACGACTTTTGCATTTCCTTTTTTAAAGTGATTTTTGCCTTCATCAAATTAAGCACTTGTGATTGTGGGGGGCGGGGGCAGGGAGATCATAAACAAGAATACCATCATCTTGTTTCTAAAATTTATTTAAATGAAGTTTGTTTATTCAAAAGTGTCTCCTATGTACTGAGTTTTGCATATAAATAGAGAGAATAGAGCCTTTGCCTGCAATACCACAATCTAAAGAAAAAGGCGAGTCAGAGAGAAAAGAGAAAATCGGGGTGGAAGGAAGGAATTAAGCATTTTGCGTTTTAGTATTCCTGTCACAAATTCCTCCTACATCCTGTTTGGTTTTGTCGACTTTATCAGCTAGAGACAGAACTCAAGTTGAAATTAAAATTATGTGTGTGCGCAGTGACTTGGTTCTTTATCATTATGCTGGTGCAAATTTTCAGCAGTGTGCTGGTATCCCAAACTGGAAAAGGGGCATGATAGTGGCTTGCTTACCTTGGAACCTTAAAAAGTTATGGCTCTACAGAGCCACCTGTGTCAAAGCGAGCGTGAACTGGATAATAGTTGGATGTTTTACAGTGGGGCTGCAAGTAAAGGCAGAAACCCTTGACTTGAGTTTTTGCCCATGCTGTTGCAAAAGTGTGGATTTGGGGAGAGGATATATTTTCGTAGGCGATAGCCAACGAAGCCGTTCTAAGAGTAAAGTCACTGAAAGACATAAGTAGCTTAAATCAATTTACTTCAGTGGTCTGTTCTGAGTACAGTCGTACCTCAGAAGTCGGACGGAATACATTCCGGAAGTCCATTCGACTTCCAAAACATTTGGAAACCAAAGTGCAGCTTCTGATTGGCTGCAGGAAGTTCCTGCAGCCAATCGGAAGCCGCAGAAGCCCCATTGGATGTTTGGGTTCCAAAGAATGTTCGCAAACCGGAACACTCACTTCTGGGTTTCTGGCGTTTGGGAGCCGAAACGTCTTGAGTTCTGGGGCATTCGGGATCCAAGGTACGACTGTATGACTTAGTTGACATCACCTACAATTTAACCACTTCATTGGCTATGAAAAGCTATTTTTCTTGCAAGTGCCTTAAATTGATTCCCCCTCCCCTTCTCCTCTTCCATAGGCTATCCTTGGTGCTGGTCATTATGTGTATGCTGATCAACCTGAAGACTTCAACCAGAAAATAAAAGAGATCTGCAATTCTGTGGACTGACAGCGTTCTCTTCTTCGCAAAAGCCAGACACAATTGCAATTAAAAGCAATACTTTGCAGCATATTATAAAAGATAAGGAATACAGAGGTTTAGCAAGCAAACACAGATTTTGCTTGCACCACACCTTTCAAAACGTTTGCACAATTTAAACCATGCAGTGCCTTTTGCTGGGATGGGGAGAGGAAACTTTGTACATTTTAGTTGGATGCTGTTCTTTATATATTTAGATAAGGTGTTTGTCTCTCTATATACATATGTTAAACACATTTTAAAACTGGATTTTAATTTTTATTTTTTTTGAAGAATGTAGAGCTTTTAAAATGGTGTTCTACACATACAGCGAGCGTTTCAACATTCTTAATAATAATATACGTAGCAAAATTGCAGTTTGGCTACTTCAGCATTCAGAACCCATACGTTGTAGCTTCTCAGTTTTTCATTGTGACAGGAAGGATTTGCGTAGGATATCTTCACATTTTATTGTACCTTATGAAGTGGACTTTGCCAAAATAATTAGCAACGATGAACACCCAGGAAAAGAACAAACGTAGGAAAAGTTAGGGAAAGACTCAAGTAGTTATATTGGAACCTTTGTTCGCTGCAGTAACTGTTGTTCTTGGGTCTTTGATTTCCTAGGGGAGCTGCATTTTGTGGGATGCTAATATTGCTAATGCTTATGCTTTTAAAGAGACAATGTAGAATCCAGTGGATCTGAAGACTAACTGCCTTCACACAACCTGTTCATTTGGTGATAAGATTATTGCAAGATCTTCGGAACTGATTCTCATGTTTGTACAAGTTGTACAAGTTGGGATAGAATTCCATGTTTAATTAGTCCTTGGATAAAGTGGTCTCAAAGTTGTGAATATGCTTTTTCTTATAAACTATTGGAATTTTGAGCCAGTCTGACTGGAAAATGCCTAACAGTCAAAACCCAGGTATCCTGTAAGAAGAAGGCGTTTTAGATTAAATAAGACAGATGAATCAAGAAACCTAATCTTACCTCAAAATGTTTTCATTAAAATACTTGATTTTATGCAGTGTTTTTAATAAGAGCTTATTTAGGCTCTGGTTCTTTACAGAACTGTATGTTTTTAGGTACTTGGTTAATAATAAGATAAGCTGGGGAGTTTTGGTCAACTTTACAGCAATGGAATGCTTGTAAACCAAACTGTCTGCACAATAACTTATTGGTTAGCTTTTGAATGTTGGAATAACTACTGAATCTTCAATCTTTCTTACATAAAGTTTTTGAACCAGTCTGAAATGATGCTTGAAAATCGGTTATTTTGCTATCCCTTAAAGATATAATCTTGGGTTGTATTAGAGTAATGGACCGTGTTCCCTGGCCAAGAGATAACATACCGTATTTTTTGGTCTATAAGATGCACCTTTTCCCTCCTAAAAAGTAAGGGGAGATGTGTGTGCATCTTATGGAGCGAATGCAGGCTGTACAGCTATCCCAGAAGCCAGCACAGCAAGAGGGATCACTGCTTTCACTGCACAGCGATCCCTCTTGCTGTTCTGGCTTCTGGGATTCAGAATAATTTTTTTCTTGTTTTCCTCCTTCAAAAATTAGGTGCGTCTTATGGTCTGATAATACGGGACTTCCCTGTAAACTTCCCTGTAAACTCAGTCGCCGCAACTCCTTGATCGCAGTGTGAAATTGATGCTGAGTATTGTCACCATTGAACAGTCCAGTTTACTTAAATCAGTAATGCAGAACCTTGCTTTTATTTTAAGTGCATTTCTCAAGTTAAGGAGTTGCGTAGTTAACGGAGAACTCTGATGACTCTGTGGCGATCAGCAGCTGTACATTTACAGCTGCTTCCTAAATGCTGGCTAACCCAAAAATAGGCAGCGTGTTTTTGAACAAATATCATTTATTATATTACACAGGCACAATATTTGACACTCCACATGACGGGTTATACAGTGGTACCTCTGGTTAAGAACTTAATTTGTTCCAGAGGTCCATTCTTAACCTGAAACTGTTCTTAACCTGAGGTACCACTTTAGCTAATGGGGCCTCCCACTGCCGCCGCCGAGTGATTTCTGTTCTCATCCTGAAGCAAAGTTCTTAACCCAAGGTACTATTTCTGGGTTAGTGGAGTCTGTAACCTGAAGCGTCTGTAACCCGAGGTACCACTATATCTAGTTGTGTTTCTCCACTGATGGAAGGCTCTTTGATTCAGCACAGACTTCCTTGTTTGGATAGGAGGAAGAGGTTTGTTTGGTCCCCCCCCCCAAAAAAAATTACCCTTCTCTTGCAAAAAACCAACAACAACATGCACTATGGACACCTCTGTCCCCTTTAGCAATAGCTAAACAGCAGGTACAATATCCTAGAAGCCATTGTGTTTTAGAAGCCATTGTGTCCATGGGAATTACTGTTTTAAACAAGGCAGATTGTCTGTCCTTTATGGGACTGGGATCGAGGGAACCAGGGTTCAAATTATTTTCTTGCATACCACCCTCCATCCGTAGAGCTTAGGGCAGTTCACAACATAAAATGGCAATATAAAACCCACAAAATAGATAATAAAATCAATAACAGCAACTAACTGTTGCCCCCGGCAACACATTTAAAAGGCCATCGGATGTCAAATCAGCCCAAGGCCTGGTTGAAGAGGAATGTTTTTGCCTGGCGCCTAAAAATGTATAATGGCGGCACCAGCAGAACCTCCCTGGGGAGAGCATTCCACAGACGAAGACCCACTACAGACAATCCCAGCACTTGGCTGTTAGGTGAGACTACCTGGCCCATGTCACAATGAGGTTGTGAGGATAACAGTACAGTGGTACCTCGGGTTAAATACTTAATTCTTTCCGGAGGTCCGTTCTTAACCTGAAACTGTTCTTAACCTGAAGCACCACTTTAGCTAATGGGGCCCCCCGCTGCCGCTGTGCAGCCAGAGCACGATTTCTGTTCTCATCCTGAAGCAAAGTTCTTAACCTGAAGCACTATTTCTGGGTTAGCGGAGTCTGTAACCTGAAGCGTATGTAACCCGAGGTACCACTGTAAAGAAGAGGAGAGCCAGTGCTATTTTTTTTTTTAATAAGAGGTGCCAGAACTCACCATGTGAGGAAAATCCATGTACGTCACCTTGAGTTCTGTGGAGGAAAGGTGGGATAGAAATGCTGTAAGCAAACAAAATTAGGATTGCTATCTGCTTATGGGCTGTATTTTATAGTCGTCATGACAATCGGCAGTGAATTCCACACCCACCGTCCGTAGTAGCCTCTTTCAGGGATGGTAGCAAGGGTGTAGCAGGGTAGCTGGAGCCATGCTTAGCCCTTCCCTTGGAAACTGATTGTCAGGTACTGATGTGGTTGCCCGAGAGCAAACAGGCAAGACTCCGACCTGTCTTTTCCAGGCTTTATTATTAGTGCAAACTATATACAGGGATGCGGGTGGCGCTGTGGTCTAAACCACTGAGCCTAGGGCTTGCTGATCAGAAGGTCGGCGGTTCGAATCCCCGTGACTGGGTGAGCTCCTGTTGCTCGGTCCCTGCTCCCGCCCACCTAGCAGTTCGAAAGCACAAAGTGCAAGTAGATAAATAGGTACCGCTCCGGCGGGAAGGTGAATGGCATTTCTGTGTGCTGCACCAGAAGCGGCTTAGTCATGCTGGCCACATGACCTGGAAGCTGTATGCTGGCTCCCTCGGCCAATAAAGCGAGATGAGCACCGCAACCCCAGAGTCGTCCGCGACTGGACCTAACGGTCAGGGGTCCCTTTACCTTTATTTACAGTGAAGAGCGTCGCAAGTTCATGTCTGGCTCACTCGCTAGTAGAATCTGGGAGTGGGCGGTCCTTATACCTCCCCCAGCATAACAGTCGCATGACCCCCCAACCTTCTCCTCCCTTCCCTGTGCCTAAACCTACTGGGCAGAATGGGCGCTCGTAAAGTGGTACCGTATTTTTCGCTCTATAAGATGCACCAGACCACAAGATGCACCTAGTTTTTGGAGGAGGAAAACAAGAAAAAAATATATTCTGAATCTCAGAAGCCAGAACAGCAAGAGGGATCGCTGCGCAGTGAGAGCAGCAATCCCTCTTGCTGTTCTGGCTTCTGTGATAGCTGCGCAGCCTGCATTCGCTCCATAAGACGCACACACATTCCCCCTTACTTTTTAGGAGGGAAAAAGTGAGTCTAATAGAGCAAAAAATACGGTACTTCCCTCCCCTCTGGTTTGCTCAGGCTCGGTGTTGAGGCTCACCCTAGCATCCCCTGCTCCCACCACTTCCTCTCCACTGGAGGTGGGGCTTCCCTCCTCACCAGAGGAGGAACTGCTTCGCAAGATTTTCAGAGGTTCCCTATAACATAACTGCCCTTCCACCTCTTGCCTCTGAGCTGATGGCAGTTCCCTGACACTGATCCTCCACTTCTGTTCCTCTTCCAAGGCCATTTTGAGCTAGCCAAACTTATTTTTTGTATCTGGAGAAAATGAGTGGAAAGGAAGAATTGCTTATAGGCTATAGTAGCGTTATGAGGCAAACAAAGCTTTGCAGTCTCATGTCAGCCTCCATACGGGTCGCTGTGCCAAAACAGGCCCTTTTCACAATAGTTGCTATGTTACAGCAATGGGTCCCAAATGTTAACATATCTGCACTTCCCAGAAGCAATTGGAGATAATCACTGTTCCGCCAGGCATTCCCAACTGGATGAATGCATCTTTGCCACGAGTATGTTCTGTCTTAAATGTAACTGCTGGGTTTTTGTATGTGTTAACTCTTTATTATGAGGGACGCGGGTGGCGCTGTGGGTAAAAGCCTCAGCGCCTAGGGCTTGCCGATCGAAAGGTCGGCAGTTCGAATCCCCGCGGCGGGGTGCGCTCCTGCTGCTCGGTCCCAGCGCCTGCCAACCTAGCAGTTCGAAAGCACCCCGGGTGCAAGTAGATAAATAGGGACCGCTTACTAGCGGGAAGGTAAACGGTGTTCCGTGTGCTGCGCTGGCTCGCCAGATGCAGCTTGTCACGCTGGCCACGTGACCCAGAAGTGTCTGCGGACAGCGCTGGCCCCCGGCCTCTTGAGTGAGATGGGCACACAACCCCAGAGTCTGTCAAGACTGGCCCGAACGGGCAGGGGTACCTTTACCTTTACCTTAACTCTTTATTATAGGAGGAGATTAAATAAATATATGAACAACAACAAAATAAATAGGAATTCTCCCCCCCCCATGAGCAGCAGAAGGAATGAATTGATGAGAAAAGAGAGGGAGATATAGATATAGATATAGATATAGATATAGATATAGATATAGATATAGATATAGATAGATATAGATATAGATATAGATATAGATATAGATATAGATATAGATATTTGTTGTTGTTTAGTCGTGTCCGACTCTTCGTGACCCCATGGACCAGAGCACGCCAGGCACTTCTGTCTTCCACTGCCTCCCGCAGTTTGGTGAAACTCATGCTGGTAGCTTTGAGAACACTGTCCAACCATCTCGTCCTCTCTCGTCCCCTTCTCCTTGTGCCCTCAATCTTTCCCAACATCAGGGTCTTTTCCAAGGAGTCTTCTCTTCTCATGAGGTGGCCAAAGTATTGGAGCCTCAGCTTCAGGATCTGTCCTTCCAGTGAGCACTCAGGGCTGATTTCCTTCAGAATGGAGAGGTTTGATCTTCTTGCAGTCCATAGGACTCTCAAGAGTCTCCTCCAGCACTTCCACTCACTTCCATACATCACTAATATCTGTCTGTCTGTCTGTCTGTCTGTCTGTCTGTCTGTCTGTCTATCTGAATGAGAGAGCTTTTATTTCCACAGATTTATAGGTTTAGCTGGACGTTGCAAGCCAGCTGTGGCATGCTGTGTGTGCATCAGATTAAAAAGCTATGGCTTGACACAGGAAAGACTCCCCCTGCTGCTGCCACCAGCAACGTTCAGTGTAAACCAGCTTCCTTCCTCTAAAGTCACAGGAGACTCACCATGTTTCAAAGAGATGTGTGAACACTCATCTCCTCTTTCCCCTCCTCAGAGCATCTCTCCTCTCCACTTTTTCCGGCTGAAGCTGTGAACAAGAAATGACAGGGAAAGTTAATGTTTTTTTCTGCCACTTGTGGGTGAATCTGAGAAACCTACATGTCTTGCCAGAGTAGTTACCGCTGAAGAAAAAAGGAAGGCATGGAGATCATCACTTCAGAGACACAGGGATGGTTCGGGGCTTTGTTCTTAAGAGGCAAAACACACACAAATGTTTTGCATTCTGCAGTTCTGCTGGCAGATTCCAGCTGCATTTCGAATACTTTTCAAAACAAA